GGGGGGGGGGGGGTGTAAGAAAAAGTGAGGTCTCGAATTAGATTAAGAACCTCGAAGTGTACTAGTGAGAAAAAAAAAACCACTAAGGTCATAGTGATCGGTATTGCTTCTAAGTATAATATCATATTTATAATCCATCGAGCACAAAAAACTTCAACCACATATAATACCAATTCAAGATGATTTAATTTTGCAATTGTTATGCATAAAAAAACTCTTTGATGCCTATATTATTCAACCCTGTTGCTAAAGATTGTATGTGCACCATTCCAAGAAAACCTTCTACTTGCAAACACCAATCAAGTGAAACTATAAAATCATTTGAGAACAATATACTATCATCAAATGTTAGATATCGCAGTTAGATTTCGCACCCCGAATATCATTATTTCCTTATAGTTCTTTCAGATGTTTCATACATAATGTCCTTTCCCAATTGTTATTTGTGCATTTCATATGCAAGTAGCCTGAAGCTGAACTGAAAGAAAATAGACAAAAAAAAAAAGCACTCCAATTAATACTGTAGATTATGATAGACTACGTACCAATATTTAGATAAATGTCATCATTGACCTTTACATAGAACTCTGCATCCCAGTGTTCTAATGCATCAATAAAGAACAACTTAGTCTTTTTTGGCTTCTCCTCCGCTGTCTCCACATGATCATTCTGTTAAAATAGTGATGTATAAGGAAAAAGGTTCATACTATTTCACATGAATTTAGCATGAACCTTCATTGAAACTAAGAATTCCAGACATTAGTTTACTTTATTCTTAAACATAACAGTAGCCTTAATTTCCGAGGAGTCGAACATACAAGAATAAGGAAGTCCTTCTCCTTTATGTTCTCATTGTTGATGTCCCTGTCTGAATTGTCTCCATGATTCAAGCTACAATACATAGGTCAAATTAGATATGACTCTAAAATTCTGGTCTAAGTGATCATCTGTGTGGTGTTGATTACTAGAAATACCTTCTGCCTATAACAAATCTTATAATTATGCCCTTCTCGTCTTCCAGCTTTGTTAGAGCTGTCCCTGCATGAAAGTTTCCAGGTAATCATTTTTTGTGATATAACAAGAGTAGTTAAAACATGAATTGAACTCCTAGGGATCATAGAAGCTTAATTCACTAGCAGCAAGAATAACATTTATTTTCTCTTCAACAATATATATTGACTGCACTAATTCATTTTTGACGTCGAAAATTAAACTTGTCAGCCATCACACTTGGAGAAACAGGAAGAACTTGACAACAAAGCTCGTCATGGACATGTCCAATATTACCATCTGATAATGTCAGCCTAATGCCTTTTCACTTTTCCCAATTGAATAAGAAATTGAATCCTTCATAAGCCAACTATGTATGGCCGTAAATTGTAATTAGAAATAAATGGAGTCACTGAGTAGGCAACTTGAGCACACATCAACAAAAAAAAAAAACGATTTATAATGTCAGCCCTTACACAATTCAAGTGTGAAATCCTTTACCAATTTTAGTGTGTAGTCGAGTATAGTGTGCATACCTCTGAAAGTACATTAGAAAGGAGTTAGAGTTAGGATGAAACTCACAAAAGGAAAGGGAATTCTACCAGTAGGCATCCATGCCTTACGGATTGCATATCTGTTGTGTTTGCGACCAAATCCTGTAAGTATTCCTACAACAGCAAGAAGCTTCTTCTTTTCATTTGTGCCCTTAGTTTCTATGAGATGCTTAGAAACATATCCTTCCTTCTTGGCTTCTTCTAGCTCCATCTGAAGCAGAGATAACTTCTTTTGTTGTTCCCTATGAATAAAAAGTATGCCACAATTTAGTTTGGAACTATTTCCACCTAAATTTAGGGTAAAGAAGGGGCAAAGTAGACCCTGAAAGTAGCAACAATTGATACGGCCAGAAATACTAGCCTGCAGTCTATGACTTTTAATGTGTCATCAACAGAAATGATCGACTCCCCCTGCAGTCAAGATATGAAGTCTAGAATGTTAGCCTTCACTGGATAAGCTGAAACATCTTTATTCTTTCATGTCTCTAAACGAAATTTGGATATCAACCACAAGAAGCTTTGTATCATGTATTCCAACAAGTTAGGGTCAGCAAAATAATACAATGTATAAAGATTAAAGAGATGATTATAGCTTTTGCAACAGAAAGTAAGCCATCTAACTGCAAAAATTTACAATAATCCCATGCTTGACAGTATGATCAGCTTTGATTGTTAACACTAAAAAGATAGTGGTCATAACTACAAGAACCAACTATAAGTGACAGTTATATTTCTGATCTTGAATGGCACATTATAGCTATTACTATATTGATCGCCTATAAGATACAAATCATACAATTCCTTCCAAGTACATGGAGAAAATACCTTATTCTCTACTTGGGGGCTGTTTGGTTGGTTTTCCATTAAATCCTGTATGGATAAAGCAATATGTGTGGATTTATCTGTCTGTACGGACCGGAAAGATTTTTGTTTGAGAGGGTTTTTTTCATAGATGGAATATGCGTGTTTTTTAATTGGGAGGAGCAGGTTTGAAAAAAACTTGGCTTTCTGCATAAAGCTTCCTCTTAGAAGCTTACTCAATAATTCACTTTTATAACTACCAAACAGATGTAAAGCTAACCGAATAAGCTGAAAGCCCTTAGCTGCTAACAAACAGGCCCTTAGCTTAGTTTGGCATGCAATTTATATTCAATAAAAAGTAGAGCATAGAACTATCAGACTTTTATAAATCAGCAGATGAGATAAATATTCATATTCAAGAGAATCCAACTGGAAATGTTCACCCGACATTTGCAGCTATAGCAATCAAACTTTTCAGCTAAAATTTAGTGTTCCAATGTGATTGAAACAACTTAAAGCACGTTCTGGGATAACATTCTCACAATGACTACAAAATAAGCAAAATAATATCAAGACCACTCCAAAATTACTATTAGCCTGCAAGCTGCAACCATTACTAAGCTATAGACTTCATAAACCGAACCTTTATCTGTAAATTTATAGGTGTAAATTGTTAAACAGTAAATAAAGGAAGTACCACCTGACCAGTTCTCCTATCAAGCTCTTTAACTAGATAAACCCTAGACTCTGCCTCCTGCCACAATCTACAAACAGAAACACAAATTATTTAAATAAATTCGCTTACAATTACAAGCTAAAACACACACATAGAATATAAACAAAGAGTTACCGGCAGGCAACGAAGAAGGCAGCCATGGTGGCAAACATCGAAAGAACGAGAGACGAAATTCTCCATCGAAATGCCGAACGTGAAGAAGATAGCCGGTTGTTGGATCCCCGGCTACGCATTTCCTCCTCGAGGACAACGTTAATATCTACTTATACTTCGTTAGATGATGAATAACGACGGTTAGAGGATTTGGCCAGAGACGATCTGCTTGATATCGAAATCAGAGGTCGGAGAGAGGATTCCGATCAATTGATGTATCGATTCCGATAGTTTTCTCCTTCGATTTGGAAGAGAAAAGTGGAAATATAAAGAACAGTTTGGTGCGAGAGAGTGATAGTGGAACAGCAGGCAGAAAAAGTTCGTCTTTCAAAAATACATGTAAATTACAGATTTGGTCCCTAAAGTTTGTCATTTGTTACGAAACTGATTTTTTATCTTCATCTATTACAAAACAAAACCCTTCACCTATGCAATTTCTATTGGATTTGGCTTCTCGCACTAACAACCATCCAACTTGTCAGTTAACTATGAGGATAAATCGGTTTTTATCTTCATCTATTACAAAACAACCATCCAACTGATTCTTATCTTCATTTATTACAAAACAAAACCCTTCACCTATACAAATTGGATTTTGGTCTCTCACACTAACAACCATCCAACTTATTTGTTAACTATGAGGATGAATCAGTCTTTTTAGTATATTTTCCTTATTTTACCATTTTTCAAACCATAGGGACCAAATATGTAATTTATTCTCAATAGTTATTATTATATATTTATAGAGGTGGGTTATTATACAAACCATTTATATTTGTGCAACCAATACAACTCAATCTTAATTAAACATTTAATTTGATGAATATGTTATTTAATAAAAGTTTTGTTTGTTTTCTAATATAAAGTATAATTAATGAACTCTAATTATTTTCTATAAATATTTAAATCATAATAAATGAATTCTCATCATTTTCATAAATATCTTAATTGATTGAATTGCATTGGTTGTACAAATATACATGGTTGCGAAACATACCCTATATTTATATTGTATGTATTTATATTTTATAAATTATTATATATAAAGGGAAGGTAATGCAAAAATTAACTAATTTGTGAAAAGTAATTAATTAAAAAAAATACTATAAATAAAA